TGTTACGTTATAACGCTGAAAATTGACCATCCCCAGCTGGCCCAAGCACGAGACGCTTTATTTCCCCGTTTTGTTTGTTTTTTCCCCAGATTGGGTTAAGTTCAGGGCATACGCCCAGCCAACGGAAGCCAAATTTTTAAAACTTAAACTATATAGGTAGGTACACTGTTATTAACTTAATTAGGGTACTCCTAAGGTTTAGGAAGAGTCACACTGAAGGGGCCAAAGAGCCGCATGTGGCTCGTGAGCCGCAGTTTGCCGACCACTGGTTTAGGGGAGCTTCAGGTCTTGGCTCTAGGGAGGACCAAATTTGGAGCTCAGGTACTTCAGGCTGCTCTTCTCTGGCTCTGCAACTTCATTGCTGTTTCACACGGTGGGGCCTAGACTTTCAGCCTTGGCTGGATAAGGAAACCAAATAACAGATGTGAAGGCGGCTCACCCAGTGTCACCTGGGCTGATATCCTGCGGGGAGGAGCTGTGTTCCGAGTGAAACAGGGACATACTGTTCTTATCCTGACCCCTCCCAAGTCCTATCAGGCTCAGCCCAGCCTAGAGGAAATTGGCACCTAATCTTGTCCTCAAAGGGCCCTGCCCTTGTTCTCAGCCCTCCCCTCAGCCTCCACGTGGCAGGAAGCCCTGGGTGGGAAGCCCAGCAGCTCATAATCCCAGGCTGCTTGTCCAATCAAAGAGCCGCTAGCCAGCCAGCCACAGATAAACCGAAGCCCATGCCCCTAACTGACGGCCCCGATCTAGCAACTTTGCAAAACCTGGCGATTCCGGCTGAGGCCACCCTCAGTTGGGGCCTCGGCCTCCCAGGTGGCAAAGGCCTCCCAGGTTGCAAAGTCGGGAGGGGCTGGTAAGCAAAGCGCCCAGAACCCAGGCCAGTGAGGATTTCAGCCCGAGTCACCCGGAAACTAGGTTTGGGCTCCACCCGCCCTCCTCTACCTTCCCCAAGCCACAACCAGCAGAGAGGCCTGCGGACGAGTGCAAGTCCGCACCGCCCCCACCCCTGCCCGCCACAGCACACCCGCGCTGTCCAGCCCGCTCCCTGAAGACCCCAGCCCGGCCCGCTGACCTCCCGGGGTAGTGGCGTATAGCGTGCCCCCCGGCGTGGTGCTGTAGCAGTCGGGCAGCCGGTCTCTGCCCCCGGGAATCGGGCAGCTCGTGAACGTGGACATAGCGAGCGAGATGAGCAGGAAGGCAAGCGGCTGAAGACGCGGAGTGCAGCAGTCTGAGGCGGACTCTGCCGACCACGTGCGGCCGCAGCCACAACATTCGGTCGACGTCACGCCCGGGGCGGGCCACCGGCCGTCACTCAACGTGAGGTTCCGCCCTCGAGGGAGCAAGCCCGTGGCTCAGTAAAAGTTGGAAGGAGTTCTTTTTTGGCCCAACGTTGGCAAGCCACCCTCTGAGTCCTGCAATCGCTCAGTTATTGACTAGTCACTGTTTACAGCTGGGCGCTGGGGACAAGTGAGGTACACCTTACTGCCATATATTAATTCACCCATTCCTTTTAAACAGTTTAAGACAGTAAATCACATTTTACAGACGAGGAAACTAAAATCCTGAGATTAAGTCACTGGTTCAAAGTCACATTATCTTCTAGGAGCCCCAGGAAGCTGGGATTCAGACCTGACTGTATCTGATTCCAGTGCCTGTGCCTTTCAGCGCAGCTGAGTACTGCCTCATTAATCAATTACAGTACAGGGTGAAAAGCGCCTTGAGGGCCTGGTACACAGCTTCAAGGGGGGAGGGCAGGGATGGAGGGTGGGTTTTCTGGAAGGAGTGATACCTGGAAGGATGAATAAAGGTTGGGGGATAGGAGAGGCCTGCTCTTTGATCTGTCAGCCACAGCTAACCTAAGCAGAGGAAACTAAGGAAGGGCAGGGGGCGAGTGACGAGTGCTTGTTCCTTCACTCTCTGGAAAGGAAGGCCAGACAGTCTGGCCTTAGGTTTTTTGATGCACACAGTGATATAAAAGGAGGAAGGAGAGGTGGTGGGAGAATAAGTCTAGTGCCTATATACACTAAAAATCACTTCATCCAGTTGTTTTCTGGCTTCTTTAAAATCAGTGTACCTCCACACCCCCTACCCTCCAAATAAAGTACAGACCAACTGACTTCATAAGATTTCCCCTTGGCTCTGATTCCTTCACTCATTAATTTAAAAAAGAAAGACTATTTTACAAGTCAGAGCTTCTCAAATTTTAGTGCACATAAATAACTGGAGAGCTTGTTAAAATGAGAATTCTGGCCCTACCTGGTTTGGCTCAATGGATAGAGCGTTGGCCTGTGGACTGACAGGTCCCTGGTTTGATTCTGGCCAAGGGCACATGCCTCGGTTGGGGGCTTGATCACCAGGAGGGGGCGTGCAGGAGACAGCCAATCAATGATTCTCTCTCATCGATGTTTCTATCTCTCTCTCTCTCTCTCCCTCTCCCTTCCTCACTAAAATCAATATATTTTTTTAAAAAAAAGAGAATTCTGAAAAAGGTCTGGGGTGGGACCTGAAATTCTGGGTTTTTAATAAGATCCTGGGTGATGCAGACCCTTGGTTCAGCAGGTCCTTAGAATCACACTTCAGGGATCAAGGATCTATATATTTTATGTCCTAAAGATGTTTTTAAACCTCTTACAAAGTAGTGTATACTTAAATAAAGTGTTTTAGCAGTGCTGGAGGGTAAGGCGTGGGAGCAGATTACGAGGAGCCATTTCTGACAACTAAGCTTTTAAGCAAGTAAGTAGTCTGGTGGGGGGAAGGAGGGATGGGATGGAGAACAGTGAGACTGAAGGTGAAGACTCCAGTCTAGTGAAATGGGGTAGGCAAAAGGGCAGTAACCGTGAGGACTGACAGAAGTGGAAGGGATCCAGATAAACAGAGGAGGAAGGATAAGGTGATTAAGGGTAGGGTAAGGGGAAGGGAGATAAATGAGGATAAATCTCCCAATCTCCTGACTTGAGATCCTTTGTAGCTAGTAATACCACTTAATATAACAGAGAACACAAGGAAAGGTCTTATCTTATATTGGGGATGTCTGATGTGCATGGATGGAGAAGCAGAACAAGGAACTAGATACACTGGTCTGAAGTTCAGAGAACTTTGAGCCAATGATGCAGATTTGAGTGGAGTGAAATCCTAGACCAGGGGTGGGCAAACTTTTTGACTC